TTTAAGCGGACAGCACATAACCTTCTCCTGAATGGGATTACCTCCCAGCAATTCTGGTCCTTGCTTTTCCAGATGGGTGGACTGGGGAAAGTGGAGTACAGTATAGAGTATCTCTCACGACAACAGCACTGACTGCCTCCTCCCTGCCAGTCATGAGTCCAAAGGCCTTCCCACTGCGCTATACTGCCCCATGTCAAAGAACAGTAAATACAGTTCAATACAATTAAAGACCACAGACAGAAATCCAAAACATGTCACTCAGAGTCCATTGTATGCAGTCTTTCTCAATGGAAGAAGGAACAAAAGAATGATGTACACTGTATCTTGCAAGAACATCTTAAAGCAGTTGCTGCAAATTGGCTGTGTCACTGACACACTCAGGATTTTGACATCCACTCGATTCCCACTGAGGAAGGCAGTGTTTTTTTTTAAAAAGGCCACTGTATGTCATCTTCCTTGCTTCCTTGCATTTTTTTCAGCACGAGACCACAGTTTCATCTAGTTCTTCCTGTCTGGTTTTAAAAAAAAAAGTGAACCCCCCGAATCCCAAATCTTTCTTTAACACCTCTCAAGATATTGTCCCGGTAGCAAAAGAGAATCTCTCTGGGACTTCCTTCTTGTGAAGCTGCAGCAAGAGTCTGCGCACCATTAAAAAAAAAAAAAAAAAGTCTGTTACGATTCGGGGTTGGATTTCTGTGACTTCAAGGCAAACATCCACACCTTGATTTTCAGCCAAGTCTCAGACTCCAGTTTGTCGGTGTCACACGTGTTCAAGCCGCTTGTTTCAGCAGGCTTCTTTCTTTGACTGGAGCACTCACATGTTTGCCAAGACTTCCACTTTATCTCTGTTCTCTGACGGTAATTCTACCTGTAGCAGCTGGGGGCAGCAAGATGGCCTTTTAAACTCAGATGCTGTAGAAAGTTTGTTATGAGCACCAGCTTAATGTCGTGAATTCTGTGTCTTGGTCATTTAATTATCTGTGTTTAAGAGAAGAGAAGGCCTGTCTTACTCTTTTTATTGCCATTGGCCTCCAGCAGAAATAGGAGATCCTAAAATTTCTTCTCATTTTCTGTTTGACCCCACAGAAACGTCCTCTTTTAATGAAAAGATATTTGCAAAGGGATCTTCATTAATCTGTGATCCTGTGACTCTGATGTCCCTTCTACTTGCCTCAGAAATTGAAATGCAACTGCAGATTACTAAGAGAATCTCTGTGTGCGATAATCAAGGCACGTTCACTGCTCCTGCTATGCCATTGTCACCTGCTGTTGCCTGCCACCTTGCCTGCAGCGAAAAATCAAATCTGAACTGGCTCCCGATTTCTGCGGCTTTATGATTTTGGAAGTCATCCACACTTCTACATGGAAAGTGGATACTTTAGAGACTCACATGTGGATCAATGCAGCATCTGTCGCTAAAACCTGGATGTATATATTTTATATATATATACTGAGCACCACAGCATGTTTATGATTGCAACAAATTCACAAAGTTATTAGAAACATGGCAATCTTTTTTTTTTTTGTCGCACTGACATTTTATCAAACAGAGGTGACCAGCTGTATGAGGACGTGTTGTCCTGCAGGAATCTTGTCACATCTGGATAAGCCCCCAGGAGGAGCAGGACATGATCATTGTAGCACCATGCAGTCGGGTTCCTAGTGACTTGACACTCTTGCCCTGGCCATCACGCGTGGATGATGACATGTTAGAGTGTCATGACTCGCAGTCTCCCAAGTAGTGGCCTAGCATTTTCAGTAATGTCTTGCCAGGTTGGAAATTCCTGATTGTGAGCTCCCCAGGTGGTGGGCAAGAGTAGACTGATCTAACCAGCTTCCATGTTCTTCTCTGGCTTTGCCAGGCATGCTGGTTCCTTTTTGTGTTTTCCCACTCTTGGTTTTCACCAGCCTTGACCTTCAACCAGTTAAATCCCGGATTTCCCATTCAGTCCTTTCACTGATGAGGTACTTCAGTGCTTAAGCAATCGAGTCACACGAGTCGCTCTCGGAACTGAATGATCCATTTGTCAAAATGTCGCTGAACACATTGGATTAGCGTCATACGTTTCTATCACACGCATGATTGGAGTGGTAAGTTTCTTGTGAAGTGCCTCAGTATGTATTTTACTGTGACAAGAGCGTTTTATTTGTTGGCATAAAAATGAATCTGGCAAAGTAGCTTTGCATTCAAGTGACTGTCGTTTTGCTGAATCCAGCAGACCAAGAAATGGGTACAGTAGTGTGTTAGAACCTCAGTCCAAGCAGCTTGAGCATCAATGCCAGGCAACATCACCCTCCAGCTCTTCTTCAGAAGCATCCAACAAACTGTCAGCTTGTGAATTATTTTTGATGTGACTTAGTTCATTCTTGAGTGCTCCTGAAAGCTTTCAGTCTGTAGTATTTAGGCCTGAGCCTTTAGTAGCCTCTGTAGTTGAATACTTGTTTTTTTCTGAGATCAGTATGACTCTGCAGCTAGGTTTAGCCTTTTGCTAATAATGCTTGGAAAGAAGGGTCTTTGGATCGGAGTGTAACAAATGTACCACTCTTTCTTGTTCCATGTTTAAAGTGCTGTGCAGGAAATGGCATCCTTAAAGTTGCATGGTGCTAACCATTCTTCACCATCGGTTTATTCAGTTAACACCAGAGCCCGATAAATACCTAGTCTGGTATTAAAATATCCAGTTGTGGGAGAAAAATCAATTAGCCGCCAAGCAGTTTTATAAAAATGTTTGAATTATTTCCATTGTAAACTAGTGGCTGGAAGTAGAAGTTGTCTTAAAAAGTTAATCACAGCTTTAAACACTGTTAATTTAAATCAATTTTGTCAATTAGGAATGCAGATTACATGCCAGTGTCAAATTATTGTCTATAGCTAACTTTCAGTTGGCAACCCAGGAGGTACAAATGGTGGATATAAACTGTGTCTGAATAATGTGTGGCAGACAGTCTTGAATCCAAGCCCCTGTTAGATGTTTTTTAAATATAGGCCTGTAGTGCCACAATGACAGTAATCATTCTCTCAATAGCTTGACTGCGGGGTATGGATGCTCCTGTATCAAGAGTTTTGCTAATGCTTTTTGTAAAACCATTATTAAAAATGCCCTTGTATGTTACAGCTGTTTTAAAGAATGTTGAAGTTCAGCTGTTAGTGGGTCCTTATAATTTGGTATTAAAATCATCTGCCACTCCCAGTGCTCAATGCAGTTAATTCTCAAACTTTAAAAAAAAATAATTACCTAGCACTTGTGGTCTCTTTGACATTACAAAACGTATTATGTACAATGTTTTTTTTTAGGATAAGACCTACAGTTGTTTTAAAATATGCACGATTTTAATCAAAATGCTTTCAGCGTTGTTTTAATATACCCCACTTACGTGTGATAAAGGCATTGGTTGAGACATTGTACAAAATCTCTGTTGGTTATTTGTGATGTCACCCGTAGGTTTCTGGGGTTGTTTGGAAAAAATAGAAAAGACCTTTGCCAATCCACAGTGTGGTTCTGTAAGTGAATCAAAGTCTGCATATTGTACCATATGAGTAATGTCAGCACAGCTGCAAGCAGGTAAAAATATCCAAATTACAATAATTTGCTATTTCTTCAGATGTGAGGCCAATTATATGGTTAATTACCTTTGTTTACATGTTCTACACCTTTACATTTTTGTCAGTCCCTGCTGCATGCTCTGCCCTGATTGCCAGTGGGTTGTGTGTGTTTATGCAGCGGTCTGGGGTGTTTCTCGCGAAGGGCTGAGCTGGTGTGTGTTAACCTCCCCCTTCTTCACTTACCACCTCCCTCCTGCACTGACGTGCAGAGCACTTTGGAGGTGCATCTCAGTGGGCAGTAACCTTTCTTTTCTTCTTTTGTGTGCATAGAATTGCTAACTTGCCATACCTTTTTATGTTGGAGAAGAAAAAAAAACAAAAGCAAGAGTCTTCTTTATCTGCTCACATAGAGGCACATATCTGCAGCTGTCATGCCTTGTGCATACAAAGTAATGCAAAGGACAGTATTTCAGTTACTTTCCTTCCTCTGCAGGAGTAAAGTTCTTTGTTTCATTTTTTTAGCTCTTTAAGATGAATATACAGTTTATATCACAATATTATATAGTGAAGGTTATTTACTCTGTTCATATATCCGGGCTTGTAGTCATTACATCTTTACCTCATGATGGGTTTTTTCACCCGATCTTCTGAGGGGTGAGATCAGATGTATGATTCCTCCCAAACTGAGATATCTGGTCTGTAACTGCTGCACTCTCAGGGAACTACCAGATTTTTAATAAATCACAGATATTAACATGCCATAAAATGCGTCTGACTTTTTCAGAAAAGCTTTCAGGTGTACTTACTTGAAATATTAAATATGTATGATTTTATGTAGTAATTGGATCTGATGTGTGGTGGTCCAGAGTTGTGGTCTTGTAGCAGTATTGAAGGTATTTGTTGTCTGGTATTGATATGCCATAAAATGCACCTGTATCTTAAGGACAAAGATTCATTTCTGCGGCAAAACCAAAAGGCAAAAGGAATTGATTGATTTCTGCATGAACAGAAAGCATGTGGCAACAGAAAAAAGAAAATAAATGTATAAGTATAGTTCTTTAATCGAGTAGATGATTCATTTTATTTCCTCTTTAATCTGGGATTTGCAAATCTGATTTCACCTGGATACAACCCTCATACCAGCGGTGATCACATGAGCATTAACCTGTAACCTTTCTCCTGAGGCCCACACATTTTTATAGGTTTATCTATTTCTATATTTCTTCAGTCGGATGCATGTGTGATAACACAAAGTATCTGGAGTTGGGGTTAAGGGACAGGAATGTAGAAGATGAGTTTAAGTGAATCCTAGGGCGTTCTTGAAAATAACTTAAACCTCTCTTTGACAGTGAATTCGGAGGACTTCTTTTGCTGATGGTGAGGCGTCTCTTGGGATGGTCTGTGTTTTGCTGTGTTTCAGTTTCAAGTCTCTGATTCTCCTCTCTGTTCTCTGTAGTCACCAGACGCAGACGACATGCTGGGATCATCCTAAGATGACAGAGCTCTACCAGTCCTTGGGTAAGAAGCACATGTTAACACTGTAGATTAGGGGCTGCAGATGATATTTATAAACACTTTATACAATAACATAATTATCATTAGAAAGTGTTGATAGAATTGTGATTCAGTCCATTCTACAGCAGAGATTGGTTTATCTTGAACCATACTACTGAGTATTGAATTGAGCGTGAGAAACATTATACATGGTCATGAAAAAGTTACAAGCAAATGAGCTGACAAATTGTGTTGATCAAGCTGTTCTCTCCTGCAGGTTCCTTCCCTTTTCTTTCGTTCCTTTCTGTGTATTCTTTAACTCTTAATGTAATTGTGTTGTGTTGCTAATTTTATTACTTCTGTGTTAGAAGTGCCAAATTAGAATCGTGTTTTGCTCACGCAGTAAGGATCGGAGCTGAGAGAAAGCCCTCCAATCTCAGTCTTCAGGAAAATCATGTGTCCAGGAAGAATGTAACTCGAACCAGATTTTCTGATGGGCCTCGTGGGACCCAGAGGTGTTAGTAGTAATAAGATACTCCCAAGTGGCCCTTTGCTTAATTCATGGCAAAGATACCTATGGCACAGTAGGGGAAACATAAGCCCTTCTTTAACCTATTGTAAAATACTTTGATTATTGAGCTAGATTAACAATGCTTTTGTTTATTTTTTTAAATATCCTTGACTTAGTGTCCAGAATGCGTCAAGGTAGGATTTGTAGGGTGGCATGGCATCCCAGTGGTTAGCATTACTAAGTCTCGCAACCTGGGTGGGTGTTCAGAGTAACATTTGACAATAAAACACACATCAGCAATTTTAAGCACAGCTGCTTTTTTAAAGTATAAGAACGTATGTAATTGTCATTTCTGTCAACACAGCCAAAGCTTTCATCCGTGGTGTTTTCACCAGCTGCGGTGATTGCCCTCCCAGGCCTGTCAGCCCTTTGGCAGATTGGGTAGTCCTGGAGATTACTGAAGCCCCTTTTTAAGAATGCTGTTATGGCCAAAGGATATCTTTCTTGGTCAAGCCAACAGTACAGTGCTTAGGCATAGATGTCTATGGAAGAAAACAAAAACAAGCCTTTTATTTTCATCAACTGCCGACAATTGCTCAGCATGAAAGACGGCAGTAGTGTGTGCTTCGCTGACTTTGACATTACTCTGTGTCTCTCAGAAACACCAATGACAAATGGCCTTGGGTAGAAATTCTTTTTTATGTCAAGAGCACAGATTTCTCTTCTGTTCCAGGGAACACAGTGAAAAGAAACAGGTTAGGAATTTTATGTGTGGCATTTTCTTTTAATTGGTCTCATCACATGGGAGTTTAATCACAACCTGTTTAGTCCTGACTCTTAATACGGTTTTTAAAATTTGTTTTTTGTTAAATGGTGGCTTCTGGCCAACTTTATGTGTAACACAATTGAGTTCTACCTTACGTGGTGATAAAAGGAGATAAAATTAGCTTTTGCTTAATTCGTTACAGTCTTTCCTAATTACAAGAATAGTAAGCTTTAAATCTTGTATGTTTCTGATAATTGAGTTTTTCTCCACTTGCATCTCCTATTGCTGATTCTGGGGTTGAGCTACCAGCTCTCGAGGAAGAAGAAAAGGAAATGCTAGAAGATGCACACGTCCATTATCCATATAATCGTCACATTCTTGTAACATCAGATGGCGGATTTCTGACGTCACCTGCAGCTTCCAGACAAAATAGATTGTTTCCAAACTTTATTGTGAAGTCCAAAGAAAATGACAATGCTGAATGAAAATGCAGTTTATTTTTTTTTATGGAGGCCAGTCGAGAGCCTGTAGATGTGAGTACTACAAAAGAAAAATAATAGTAAACTAAAATACAGGAATTATAGGCCGCTCCTGCACTTCCTTTTCAAAGCTTTCCCAAAGCTGTGTAGAAAATGTACAGATCTGTGCGAAAATAGCTGTGCAGTGTCATATAGCCGACCTCAAAGGTTGTTATGAGAAAGCAAGCAAAATAAAAGAAACCTTATCACAGAAGCATGTAAACATTAACTACAGAAGGAGTTTAACATTTGGTATTGACAGAAAAACTGAATTTATTAAAGACATGAACATTTTAACTGGTAGCGTTATTACTTAATTTGATCATTGACGTGAAATTATGACTTGTACTACTGTCATGAAGTTAAAAGCTTGTTTCTCCAGTTGCCATTATCTTTTAAGGCTTCCCTGTCACCTTTCAGAGATTTTTTTTTTGCTGCAGGCAAAGTTAATTAGTTTTTATTGATATAAAATCCACAGACATGATTAATCACTTCATTTTAATCTATTAAAATCACTAATGTGGGTTGGCTTTCAAGTCACTGACAGTATAGGTAGCCTCATTTCTTTTTTTAATGGGAAGGCCCCACCTAACTTACAGTAAAATGTTGAGGAAAAAATGCAGCTTTACAGTCAAAGTAAATAAAGAAAATGTGTGTACAAAGGTAATTATTTTAACTAATTGCAGTAATTTGCCAAATTCAATTAGAATATTTTAAAATTATATCAGAATATTTAGATAGTAGCATTATTCTCCCTGACCATAAGTGCTTTAAAATAACTCTAGATTTGTGCTGTAAATTGGCGTCGACAGGGGTGGCCGGACACAGACCTGAGCAACAAAAGGCACGTGGTGTCCCAGCTCCATTAAGAGAGAAGGTGCTAGAAAAATACAAAGCTAAAATATTTCTCAACCAGAACCTGTCCTTACTTATCCCACCTACCAGGGGCGAAGTCCCTGGGGAATGAGAGGGACTTTATCCTTTACACGTCTTCCTTATCATTGTTAAAGGAATGTCCCACACTGACAGAACTCAACAAAGACGTCTGTGAAGGCATTCGGTTTAAGGCCTTCACAAAGTCATTCCAGTGGACTTGCGATCAAAGCTGAAAAACACGGCCCACGGGACTCACGTGGGAACTATGTGGAAGCGCGTTTAAAACGGAGAACAAGAGGCAGTTTTCCCACAGAAAAGGTTTAGGGGGTATGGAACTTGCACTCCAGTCATGGTGTTGAAGCCGATACCCTGGCTTCATTCAAGAAAAAAAGAAAGCCCCTCTCTACTTTGTCGGCTGCTGACCAAAGCTTCTGTGCTCATGACCTGCTGACGCAGACATGCAACAAATCCCGAAAAACAAAACAGGGCAGAGACGAACTGCACATGCTGCTGCCAATGCATATGTGTACAGGGCTCTATATCTGTTAGAGTAGAACGAAAAAACCTTGTCTCCCTTTAGCAGAGAAGCATCTATCTGTGGGATTTCTTTCAGAATATAATACCTTAAAGCTCAAGTGTGCAGTTTCCACAGCAGTGTTCCTGCACTCAGGTTCAAAGCAGGACTTCTTTCTCAATTGTTTTTGTGCAGCAAATTAAACAGCTGTCAATTTGTGTTGTACTTTTGATATCAAACTGATCTACACTTTCCTGTTTGGCATTTTCAAGTCCATATGTATTGCTTTATGTGGTTTAACTTCAGGAAAGACAAAATGGGATGAGTCTTAAATTGCCTCCAGTTGTTTTCAGAGGATTGAATTTATGGTTGGATTTTGTTTGATGATAAAAGGTAGTTAGCCCAGAAATGTATCAGAAGCATGGGAGATACCGATGTGAACCTTTCTTCTCCAGCTTTGGATGGAAGAGAGGCAAAACTCCCATCCCGAGATTCTGTAACATACAGCAATACCATTTGCAACTGCTCTTTAATTTGTAGCTCAGCTCTTGTTCACTGCAAGAACTTGCAGAACTCGCCTTATATTGCAGGATGTGCAGTTTCTATGCCGTAGTGAGTTGATTAGTGCCCTATTTCTGTCACGGATGTCAGAAAGTACACACTGTTGAATGGCAGGAGAGCGATAAAGACCCTATGCGTAGCGGCGAGACGGGGGTTAGCCCGGGCTCAGCTGTTCAGGAAATGCCGTAGAGAAACCTGTGCCCTCAGGCCATGGGCAGGACTGACCTGGTGTAAGGCGAGTCTTCGGACATCCGAACGTCAAGGCTGAGCAAGTAGCAGAGCAGACACAGGAAGTAAATAGGCTACACAACAAGACACACCAGAAAGACATGAATAATCACAGGGAACTGAGAACAGGACAGAAGTAGACCACCCTCTAGGTGTACTGAGCGTGACAATTTCTAAGGATGTTTCCTACTTTTATATTGGATTATGTGACATTCAGTAAAGCCACAATGAGCAAATTCAGAAGGGAGGGAATTCTTCGACTTGCATATCTGAAGTATTCGCAAGACCACTGGAAACAGGTGTTACAGGCCTTGTCCATCTGCGGGGAACCTGGCACAAGCAAGTGTGCTGTAGGTTACAGAAGCAGCCACTGTAGAGGAGTGCTCTTTTGTTTGACTGTATTGATATATGCTGCCTCTCCAGGTTTCTGCATTAATGTTGCAGATATGTTACGTGCGCTTTCAGAGTGGCTCGACACAGCAAGGGCCTGACTAATGCAATAGTCGGGTTCTTTTGTGCAATGCACCCTGTTCACCTGAAATGCAAAGAAAGGGCTAAATCACAGCAGTAAAATGTTTCCCACTGAGTGAGTTCAAAGTGCTAAAATGCTTGAGAACGGCTGTGCTTTAGTAACAAAAAACTTGCCATCACAAGTTACAGAGATTTGGAATTTTGGTAATTTCTATTGTTGCTATTACATACAATAAGTAGCAGTTCTCTAATAATTGCTGCAGCTTGAGAAAGAGAGAATCTGTCCTTGAGGTTTAATGGAACATTTATGTTGTTTTTGTCGAATAGAAGTTTCAAACTGACCTAGAGTTTATTTTAATCAGTATATTTAAACAGTAATTCAAACAGTGCACCATTTGGGTGTCTGAATTGTTATAGCAGGTTGTTCCAGGCGTGTGACAGTGCCTTAATGCAGGCGTAATCTGACGAAGGTTGTATTTTCATTTGCAAAAACAATTTAAATGCACAGTAAAGCCCTTATATATATATATTCACGGTTTGTTTGAGATTATGATAATGAATACCAGTAGTTCAACAGAT